AACATTGTTTCTATTGGTCGTACATCATTCGTTTTTATCATTTAACCAAGTATCATGCAGAGCTCAGCCATACACTGGCTGATGAGCGACCCACACGACTGCCGGGGTTTTGAACGACTGCCAGTCACCTGGTACGAAGCCTAGCCCCTAAGTCTAACATAGCAAAGCATAGCACGGAACAAGCCGTTTTCACGCTATCATCTATTCCACTGGTATCTGAGCGGGTAATGCCGCACTCCACCTACACCGCATTCTGAAATGCACGGAAAACAGGACGAGAGGGGCGAAATTCGTGCTGTGTCGGCAGGCCTACGGAAAAACAGTGAGCTCTACCCTAGAAGATGTCTCTATTTCGTCATCATGTACCAGTTCGTCACTTTACATGTGTGTATTTGGTCCCATACGACTAAATTATAAAGTAACCCAAACGCAAAAAGACAAATAGGTAGATGATGCTGAAACTCAATTGCCTCCGTCGTGAAAAGTTGCGACTTTTTGATCTGATATGACATCTGACAGCAATCCCCTGCTCGAGCTTATCCCATCTGTTGACCACTTCAGATACGGTGCCAAATTATGTTCCTGCCGTGGAAAGGGTTATTAAGCGCTATGTGCTCTTGTGAAAAGGGCTATAATGGCACACCAACACAACATTGCACGATGGAATGTTGTAACTCAGGTACAACATGCATAATATTGCATGTGAGAGAATGATAACAGCTTGGTACCACCAAGCCTGACCCAGACTGTTGCAACCAACACATACAATGCGCGGCGAAGCGTGTTGTGTTATGTCCAAATTGAAAAAAATCACCTAGCGTGAATTATACTTGCATCATTTTCGTTGTCATTAATCGTCAGCCACACCATATAAAGTTAAATTAAGTTAGGTAGATTAAGTATTTTTAGTTAGCTTAATTAATTAAGTTAGCTAAATTAAGTATTTTTAGTTAGCTAAATTAATTAAGTTTGCTAAATTAAGTTAGTTAAAGCTAACTATTAAGTTAGCTACACAACTCTCCGGTGGTCTTCATGTCTTTGCATGCCAAGAGGGCGAAGACCAGAAAGCTTCCATCCCAGCCACTGGGACACAAAGCAGAATCGGATAAACGCGGGCACCGACAGCAAGCCCAGACGGCAGTGGAGTGAACCGATGGTAGTGTTAAAACCAAGCTCACTCGCTGCTAACTACTGCAATCTTCCTGCCAGCAACGTAGCCAAGGTTGGCGAACAGTGGTCTGGTCTGATCTCCTCCCACCGCTGCCCGGCGAACGGAGCTAATGGTGAGAGGATGCAGGCATTGCACGGTCCGTGTCTTGCTAATCAAGATAACTATAAACAACACTTGCTACGTTGGCTTTCATTGGTCACACAAGGTCAGAATGGCCGCCAAAACCGGTAACCGGTAACTGAGTATGTTGGCTTAGTCACCGAGGTCATGTTAATCACTGGGGGGTGCACATATACAACAAACTTGAATACATTCGCGCGCATCGTTGTAAACAACGTCCGGAGAGGCCAACCACGGAGGTTATGTAACGCCTGCTGCTTGCTGCCATGTTTGGAGGAGCAAGGCAACTTATCACAAACAGCTAAATCGCGTTCCAAAACAGTGGTCACCTGGTGCTACGTCACACGTGTATTATCTTTGCACGGGTCTTATCCTTGGCCCAGTGGGACTTCTCAACGTTGGTAGAGAGCCAGGGCTCCCCGCGCGTTGAGCTGCCTTTAAAAAGATGGGCCCGTGCTGCGTATGTGTACAGTCTAAAGCACATACAGCGTTCCCATATCATACATCTGTTTATAATATTGGCTTTATCTAAAATTTGTCGTCTGGCTAGCCGCTGGCTGTGGTGGAATGCAGCTGCCATTTTCATGCCAGCATTAACACGCGGCGGGTGGCCGGTTGAATGTCTTTCGCTCGGGTGGTGGGGGTCAGTTTGACCTCCTGAGATCTCCAAAATTAAGATAGATAAAAACATCAAATTCGCAGAGCTAATTGACCATTATATATATATATATATATATATATATATATACATCTGCACATGTGTTCAAATTTCCGGCTCCTAGGTCATGATCTTAAGGTCACATAAGGTCAAACAAGGTCGAAGTCTATAGATCTAGAGACTGGTGCCCAAGAAGTCTATAGATCGGTGCCCAAAGTGCCCAAGACCTCCTCAAGCAACCGCCGTGAACCTATATAAGTGTTCTAAGCCAACGTCAGTGGTGTTACTTTAATATCAGTGACACTGTGTGACCTTTAGGAGGTCAAGGCGTGCAGAAACCTATGAGATTGCTCCAATTTATCACACAAATAATCGTCAGGGATTGCGCTATGCGGCTCCTTCCACCAAAATGTTAATCTGAGTAATTTTAGAACAATGACCTATTCTGGCCTTATGAAACATTGCTGAACATATATGTTGCGGCCATTATCATCAATAAATTCAAAAACGAGTATCAGAAACTATTTGATAAAGCAAGCTCTCGAGTAAAAGTGAAGCCTAGTTTTGACTTCGGTCTGCATCCATACTTGATTCGAGCTCCACAGAGCTTGTAATTCAAAATCAGTTGATTTCTTTCTTAAGAACCAATCTAACTAGAGATACATGCTTCGTCTAACACCCCGTAGTTGCATCAGATTGACCCACTCTTTAGAAATGGCCCACGCTGACAGGTATGGTCTGACTTTGACCCGCCATAGGTCGGCGACCTTACAAGGTACATATAATTGCTTCATACA